ACTATGTCAACCCATCGTATTGGGGGGGGAGTCTTCTTTTTCACTGACCCTTTACTTTACCAAACATGATGTCCTTGTCCAAGGACTGGGTCCCTCCTGATAATATGTCCAAAATATGAGAGAAAAGTCCTGCCATCCTCACTTCAAAGGAGCATTCTGGCTGTACTTCTTCTAAAATATTATTTGTTTTCCAGCAGTCCATGATACTTACAATATTCTTTGCCAACACCATAATTTAAACTCATTGATTCTCCTATGGTCTTATTATTCATTGTTCAGCTTTCATATGATGCAATTGAGAATACTGGGGCTTGGGTCAGGCACACTTTAATCTTCAAAGTGACATCTTTGCTTTCAAGAGGTCTTTTGCAGCATATTTGCTCAATGCAGTATGTCACTTGATTTCTTGACTGAAACGTCCATGAATGTTGACTGTGGATCCAAGTAAAATGAAGTAAGTCCTTGATAACATCTAACTTTTCTCCACTTATCAATGATATTGTTTATTGGTCCAGTTGTGAGTATTTTTGTTTTCTTTACATTAAGATGTAATCCATATTGAAGGCTGCACTCTTTGATCTTCATCAGTAAGTACTTCAGACCCTCTTCACTTTCATCTGCACATTGTAGGTTGTTAGTGAGCCTTCTTCCAATCCTGATGCCATGTTCTTAATATAGCCTAGCTTGTTGGATTATTTGCTCAGTGTATGGACTGAATAAACATGGTGAAAGGATACAACTCAGATGTACACCTTTCTTAATTTTATCCCTTTGGTCTGCTCAAATGATTAATTCTTAGTCTATATACAGGTTCTGCATAAGCACAATCAAGTGTTCTATAATTCCCATTCTTTGCAATGTTATCCATATTTTGTTATGATCCACACAGTTCAATGCTTTTGCATAGTTAGTAAAACACAAGTAAACATTTTCCTTGTAGTCTCTGCTTTCAGCCAACATCCAGTTGATGTCAGCAATGCTATCCATGGTTCCATATCCTCTTCTGAATCTGCCTTGAAATTCTGGCAGTTCCCTGTCAACGGATTTCTGCAACCATTTTTGAATTACCTTCAGCAAAATTTTATTTCATGTGATATTAATAATATTTTTCCTACATACTGTAGTGTTACCTTTCTTTGAAATGGTTACAAATATGAATCTCTTCTAGTCAGTTGGCCAGATAACTGTCTGCTTTTTATCAGTTTGCTGCACCATTTCAATTGCTATTCCATCAGTTCCTGGAACCTTGTTTTCTATTAATGCCTTCAGTGCAGTTTGAACTTCTTGCTTCAATACCATTTGTTGTTAATCATATGCTACCATCTGAAATGGCTGAACATTGACCAATGCTTTTTGGTGCAGTGACTCTGTGCATGCCTTCTATCTTCTTTTGATGCTTCCTGCATTGTTCAACATTTTATCCACAAAAAACCAAAAACTCACTGCCATGGAGTAAATTCTAAGTCATAGTGTCCCTTTATAGGGATTGTATGACTGTGAATCTTTATAGGAGCACACCACCTCATCTTCCTCTTGAATAGTGGCTGGTGAATTTGAACTGCCAGTCAGCAGTTTAATGCTGGTCCCACAGTGCTACAAGGGCTCCATTTTGTCCATTGTTAAGTGCCTTAGAGTTGGTTCTGACTCATAGCGACCCTGTATGTTAAGTGCTACAAAGTTGGTTCCAACTCATAGAGACCCCGTATAAGGTTTACCAAGGAGTGACTGGTGAGTTTGAGTCAGCGACCTCATGGTTCAAACTGACGTTGCAGTTCTGCATACACAGCAGAAGTCCAAGTGCTGTCAAGTTGGTTCTCACCTATAGCAACCTGTATAGGGTTTATGAGGCTATAAATTATGGGAACAGAAAGCCTCATTGTTCTTATTGTTGTTGTTAGGTGTCATTGAGTCAGTTCCAACTTATAGCGACCCTGCCCTGGTAGCCCAGTGGGTTACGCTAACTGAAAGATCAACAGTTCTAAACTATCAGCTGCTACATGGGAGAAAGATGAGGCTTTTTGCTCCTGTAAAGATTTATAACCTCAGAAACCCTACACAGGGTTGCTGAGTCAAAATCGACTCCATGGCATACAACCACTGCCAACCTTGTGGTTCAAACTGACTTTGTGGCCCACTGCTTATTCTTCAGTGCCAATTTATTGGGATGGCATGCTATCATTTTATAATTGTAAATACATTAAGAATACATGTTCAAAAGTATGTGTAATACATGTTGATCAAATTTATATTCATGTGTCTTAAAAATTATGACTATTTTCCTCATCAGTTCTTAACTAGATGCAATTCAGATTAATTTTAACAATAGGTAAATTTACTAAAAGGCTACTAGGTAGTTCTCAGATCTGTGGAGCAGCTGGAGAACCAGAATTAGAGGCTACCCAGTCTCTAGTCAAGGAGCTCTGGTGGCGTAGTGGTTACGAATTGGGCTGCTTATGTCGGGGTCAGTAGTTCGGAACTACCAACTGTTCCGCGGGAGAAAGATGAGGCTTTCTGCTACCGTAAAGATTTATAGCCTTGGAAACCCTGCACAGGTTCGCCATGAGTCGGAACCGACTCCACGGCACATAATAACCACAACAGTCTTTAATCATGTCAGTTTCTTCAGTGAGGGCCTTCAGTTTCCACTGTTTGACCTAGACACTGCAGCTTATACCACTGGCTTTGCTAAAATTGGATACTGGAGGTTGGCACTGGAGCTACTTATGCTGCTCCTCTGTGCAGATGGACGTAGCAGCCAGTACTGTTGGTCATCACCTTTACTCAAAGGATTCTGCATGGTTCCTTGCCTTCTTTGTTATCACTAAGCTTAAAATTTAAGGCAGATGTATTGTCCTTACTGCAAAGGTTAGGAAAACATACCTGGTGCTTTCAAATCCTTTTGGAGGTAGGGAGACTCTGCCTGACAATATAGGAGTCTAGGAACCCAGTAAGATGAAATGACTTGTTTGTCATAGCCCATTCTCTTGGCTACATTACATCAGCATGCTCCTTCAGCTATTACTTATATATAGCTTTAAAAAATGTTTCTGCATAACACAATTCCATTCAGTGTAAAAGGATTTGTGTCAGACACTGTTAGTTGTTTCCTCAATATTTTTTCCTCTTTGTTAATATAAAAAGAACCCTCTGTATATCCCACTAATTAGCCTCATTACTGGGTAAAATTAACCTTTTCAAAATAAGATTTTTGCAAGCACATCAAATTTCTCCACCCACTGCAAAAGCAAGTTAACAGTGAAAGCCCTCCGTATTGTCTCAAGTCATACTTTAAGTTTTCTATTTATCAGGGGAGAAAGTTTACCTAATTTATTCTGAAACCTGAGATGTACTTTGTAAATAGTTTTCGAAGTACTTAAGGCAGATGACAAAAAGGATACCATTACACCGTAATGAGCTATTTGATTATCATGACAAATGGTATAGGGTACCTGCTTCTTGAATGAATTAGGAGAACACATGGCAGTACTAAGAGCATATTTTAAGGCAAAGAGCTGGACTAAAAAGTTCACTAATTCATGGTAAATAAAGTAAAAATGCCCACATTTAGGGATGAATGTATTTTTGCAGTCAAATTCTAAGCATGATGTCAAACAGAAATGTGTGAAATCTGATGGCATATTCCTATTCATGAATGCTCACCACTCTTAAGTAAAGTCCATTGCTATTACTAGGATCAGTTGCTTTTAGAACATCTTAGCTAGAACACATTTTGTTGTTGTTTTTAAGTGCCATTGAGTTGGTTCCGAGTCATAGCAACCCTGGATAAGGTTTCTGAGGAGCAACTGGTGGGTTTGAACTGCTGACTTTTCAGTTAGCAGTCAAATGCTTATTCTACACAGCAACTAGCTGGATTCAACTTTTTATGACTGCACAAAAGAAATTTTACATCTCATAAAGCATCAGCAAAAACTTTTGATACTGTATCTGTATGGTGCTTGGTGTTACTGGGAAATATGGATAAGTTTAGCATTCATAATTTTATTTGTGGAAAAACCTAAATATACAGTGTAACATGAAGTAATTTGTAAATTTTAAGAGTAAACTGGGAATGAGTTGATAGTAAGTCTAGTTGACCAGCCAGTATTTACATCTCAATATTGTTTCATTGTTGTCTATACAGTATTATGAATACAGTAATTCTCATTAGGTGATGAAACTTTATTGTGACAAATGGATCTAAAAAGAAAGCCACAGACTAATTCTAGTAATCACTAGTTAAATTTAACAGAATAAATGTTACCCTTACCACCTGAACTAAGTGTGCTCATGTGCACGCACATACACACAGGGTAAGTTTCTCAGCAGTTTTGAACCTAACAACCATACAACAAATGGAAAAACCCCAGTTAACTTATTTTAAAATATGTTTCCTGGACAGTATCAGTCAGTGGTCCTCTCAAATTGAGAGTTAAAACACCAGGTCACAAAGTGACAACTCTTAGCACCAGAGACTTGAAACTTTGGAGAAAGTGAATGACATTACAAGTCATGGAACTTGCCAGTCTAGTTCTGTGCAATCACATCACTTTGTTTTGGTAAATGGGAAAAAATCCAACTTTATGCAAAATACTTAGAAAGTTACATCTTTTTAAAATTTCTCTAGAATTGCATTGTACCATCCTATGTAGAGTAAAATTGCCAGTTTATAGTAAAATGCTCTAAGTTTCAGAGATGTGTAAAAATAAAATGAACTGGAAAGAGTTTACGTAAATTGAAGTCTCAGAAATGAAAATTAAAAGTAGTCTCTTGGATAAAGGAATGGCGAAATTCAGTGTACTTTTTCACTAACACACTAGAAAATTGTTTTGTGGGCCGCCGAAATTGGCTAGCAGTTTGAAACTGCTACCTGGTACCTTTAATCAACATTAAATCATGACTGAAGCAAGACACCGAACAGACAATAAGCCAATGGAAAGATAACAACTTCCCTTCCTTGATGGACAATCTCCACTATCAATTAGAGATAAGTTAATTGACAGCTAAGAAGCAGTGTCCATTGAGTCTTCTTTCCTGACTTGAAGGGACTCACTGCTGATGGATAATAATTCTCGAAGTTCCTTATTTTCGAGCTGGAAAAAAAAAAAAAAAAAGAGTTCATGTTCATTTCAGGAATTTTTACTGTCAAGCAGCATCAGAATGTTCTGCTTGGGGCCATATGTTGTTGTTGTTGTTAAGTGCACTTGGAGAGGTTCTGTCTCATAGCAACTGCTGTGTACAACAAACCACTGCCTGGTCCTGTATCATCCTCACAATTGTTGCTATGTTTGAACCCACTGTTGCAGCCACTGTGTCAATCCATCTCATCGAGGGTCTTCCTCCTTTCATTGACCCTCTACTTTACCAAGCATGGTATCTTTCTCCAGGGACTGGTCCCTCCTGATAACTTATCCAAAGCACAAGAGATAATGTCTCACCATCTTTGCTTTTAAGGAACATTCTAGCTGTACTTCTTCCAAGACAGATTTATTCATTCTTCTGGCAGTAAATGATTGTTGTTGTTGTTGTTAAGTGCCATCGAGTTGGTTCTGACCCATAGCGACCTGTACAGAGTTTCCGAGGCTGTAAATCTTTATGGGAGCAGAAAGCCTCCTCTTTCTCCTGTGGAGCGGCTGGTAGTTTCGAACTGCTGGCCTTAAGGTTCACAGCCCGATTCGTAACCACTATGCTATATATTTAATATTCTTTATCATAAAAACATATTATTTTAGTTTTAAGAGTTTTCAGGAAAGAATACACTGGCTGATGGCTATAAGGATAAATAAGACATGGTCTCCCGAGTTAAGAGACGCACTTTGCCATACTCCATGGTATCCACAAGATTTACTATTGTTTCCTCCATCTTTCAAATTCCTAATAATCTTTTCGGGAAATCCAGAGAAGAAACTTACTGAGCATATAGTCAGGCAGTGGGGGTGTTTTACATGTTACCTCACAACAATCTGCAAGGTAAGTATCATTGCTGACATTCACATTCTATTTAAGATGAGACTATTTGGCTCAGAGCTCAATAACCTTGTCCATACTTCAATGATGTGGTATTGACGGGGTCTGAATCCAATGCCAATGATTTGTCCATTTATAGTATGAGGGGAAACTTTCACCACATTCCCCTAAAGCTGTTTCTATAACTAAGGTAAATCGTGGATAACACTGACAAGATTGCTTTATCATTTAACCAACTTGTAATACTACTTGGGACTTTGCCATTCTCTTTCATTTCCAAATAGGGCAGTTTGCACTCTTCATCCTTATTTTCTCTGCAGTAAACCACTGCATTTTTAGATTTCAACAAGCGGTCATCTACCACATAAAGGGCTTTGCTTAGTACTTTATATACCTTTCCTGGCACTTATATACACCATTTCATATCATTTAAGTACTAGTTGTATTCCCTCCACTAGATTATGAGTTCTAATTGGCAGAGACACTAATTTTTTCTGTCAGTTCCCAAAGTGACCATGACAAAATCATGTAATATGCAGCACTCAAATCATCCACTGAAATGTTTTTTACTTAGTGATTTTATAGGCATACTAACAAAACACCTCAGACCTTTCTTTGTAATGTATTTATTTTTAAAATATCAAGGAGAATGATATAAATAAATTACAGAATAAACTGCAGTATGTTGGCTTTATTCCCACAAAGACAATTTTAATACTTTTATCCATTTCTTCGGTATTTACTTCAGTAATTCTGAGTAATGTGCCTGTATTACAACTCCTGATCATCAGTTTTAGACGTTATCTACTGACTTCCTATTATGGCAGATGACAAATTTTAGCTCCCATATAGCTTATCCTTCCTATTATCTCCACTTTCCCAATATGGTATTTCAACTCCTACCCAATCCATAATCGGTACTGTAATTGTTTGCTGACTATCACACTGCCTTTCTTTAAAAAGAGATGGGAGAGGAATTTTTTATTTTAAATCATGAGCACACAGTGACAGAGCAGTGGTAACACACATATCTCAAGAATCCATGGAATAGTATAAACCTAAAATCATAACAATCTTACCTCTAATTGAGCTAGTTTTTCCTGAACTTTACAAAACTGGTCATCATCCACCTGAACTGCTTTCCTCATCACTTCTCCCATTTCACAGATCCTGTCAATTTGACTTTCAATTTCCTGTGATATTAAGAAAGAAAAGGTGAAAAAGTAACTTTTTGGTGTAGATATGAAACTTGTGAGAACATGTTGTTGCTAATATTGAGTCGGTTCTGACTCATAGCAACCCTGTACAAGATTTCCAAGAAGTGATTGGTGGGTTTTAACAGCCAACCTTGCAGTTAGCAGTCCCAGTGCTTATCCTACAATGCTACTGCATTCTAATTTTTGAAAGTTCATTTAATCTATGCATTGTAACAGATTACAATGGAGCTTCACTATATAATCTATAGTCTTCAGGAGTAAAGTCATAATAAAGTTACTTATAGTATTCACAAATTTTTTGCCAGTTTGAATGTATATAACCACTGGATATTGAATAATATGAACAACATCGCTAAATACTTGTTTAACAAATTTAAGTTTGAACATTTTTATTGGTGGAAGCTTCCCACATTCCAGGGTGCCTGTTTCCCTCTTTTGACATCTTTCTTTGAAAGTTCTATGTCATCTAAACTGTCTCCTCAAGGCTCAGAGAATTGGTCCTAGCTTTCTCCTCCCAACCACAGAAAGTAAAATTCATTTTCCTCCTCTGGATGAAAGCCATTCAAATACTTAATGTTTGTTGTTAGTTATGAGTTGGTTCCGACTCATAGCGACCCTGTACAGGGTTTCTGAGGCTGTAAATCTTTATGGGAGCAGAAAGCCTCATGTTTCTCCCACGGAACGTCTGGTAGTTTCGAACTGCCAATCTTGAGGTGTATATATATATATATATATATACACATGGTTGTTGTTAAGTGCCATCGAGTCGGTTCCGACCCATAGCGACCCTGTACAGGGTTTCCGAGGCTGTAAATCTTTATGGGAGCAGAACGCTTCTCCCACAGAACAGCTGGTAGTTTTGAACTGCTGTGAGATTGGCAACCCAATACGTAACCACTATGCTACCAGAGCTCCTTGTATATATATATTTATTGTTAAGTGCTGTCGAGTCGATTCTGACCCATAGCAACCCTGATAGGGTTTCCAAGGAGCAGCTGGTGAGCTTGAACCACCGACTTTCCAGTTCAAATGATTTTGCAGTCTGACGCATTAGCCCACCACAGCGCCACACCAGGACTTTAATTATATATATAATTAAAGTTATATATATAAATACTACATATAATTTTAAACACTATTGTCCCCTAACAATGATGGTATGTTTGACATCTTCAGCACTAACTGGCATTATGATTGGTGGAAGAGCTACGCAGTCATAAGTCAAAAAGGACCTTGGTGCATGGTGAAAGCAGATCAGGGAACTGTGGCCCACTCAAATAAAAGGACCTGAGTAGCTCAAGTAGCCCCTCATCCTCTTCCTTCTATTCATATCATTACAAAGTTAAAGGAAAAGAAACTGCAAATGTGATAAATATGAAAGGATAATAAACAAAATCTAAAACAACTCCTAGATTTCAATTCAGTAATTTATCATTTACTCATCAAAGTTTCTTACAGCAGAATGAGACTGGTGAGCTTTCAGGACTGGTTCAGCATCTGCTGCTTTTTTGGCAACCATTAACTGTAACATCTGTTTCCGGTACTTGCTCATGATGAGCTCCAAGGCATCCTGGTGTTCCTCCAAGGAAATCCATAGCTCTACCAAGAAATAAATAACTTGGCAAAACAAATTCTTAATAGTTGAGATATTGTGAATCCAAAGTTGTCAATCAATGTTTACACCCATAAAACCAAAGAGCTAAGGTTTATGTGAAAAATAACTTCCTAGGTGGAGACTCTATAGTCTAGTAGAAACTACATTGGATGGGAAATCAGTCTGTGACTTACTAGCTTAACACTCTTAGGCAAATAATTTAAGCTCTTTGGATCTATTCCTTATCTGCAATATTATATTAATAAATATCTGGCTTGTCTACATCAAAATGGAGAGATGACAATACAATATTAAGTTATATAAACCCTCTGTAAACATCAAATTTTAAGCCCTTAAAAATATGAATTCTTTATAACTTTTGTTATGCAAAACCACCAACTGGGTATTTAAAAACACGCCATGTAGTAACTGAATTCTATTAAGCAAGCACCTATTTTGAAGAGCTGTCCATAAATACAAAATCAGTCAGGTGATCTTGAAAAATATAATTTAACAATTGCACTATATTGTTACTGGACCAGCACGAAGTAAGTCCTTTTAAAAGCATTTACCTGGAAATACAGGATGTGCACTTTTGTGAACAGTTAAGACAGTTTTGCAAGAACTTCTGAACTGCAACTGGAAAATAAGTCTTAACTACACAAGCCTGACTAACCTCGGTTTTCCTGTTGCAAGTCTCTAATCTGTGTGTTCTCTTGGGAAAGGAGAATGTGAGGCTTGTATTTGGACATGTCCTTCATATCGGATGCTTCCTCTTGATACTGGACAAACAGAAACATACAGACTAAGTGCGCCGATAAGTGACAGATACGAATGAAGATGCAGGAGTCAGAGCTCCAGGTAGTAATCTCACCCCCATCTCGGCAGACGTCTCACCGCTGCACTCTGAGACCGGGACCAAGTTCCCACTTTATCTGGCACTCCTTAACTCAAGCTCCCAGAACCCGAGGCACGGACCCCCACTCTGCCTGACCTGGTCCGGAAGCGCTGCCCCCGCCTCCCGCATAGCTGCTACCCGCCGGTGCAGTGCCGCTGACTGATCCACCAGTGACTCGGCAGCTGCATCGTGCTCCCGCAGCCTCTCCAATAGTGTCTTGGCATCTGTAAGGATCTTTTCGATGGTGCAGGTCATAGCGGATTCACGACCACAACCGTCCCTTCAGATCATCCCAGAACTAGGCTCAGCGTAACATGCGTCATTTCCGGGTAAATTGGCACGGCACCAGCGTCTATGCGCCTGCGTAGTGACAGCCCTGTCCGCAGGTTGACCTGCTTTAACCCGAGGCTTCACTGCAGCCCCACCCTTCGCGGAGACTGAGACCTGCCCTTGCCACGCCCTTGATTTCCTTTTCCCACAGACTGTAATGGCTTTTTTTTTTTTTTTTCCCTACTGGCTTTTGAGTGAGGTGGATTTTTAACTCAGTCATTGCTTAATGAATACACGTACTTTGAAAATAAAAACAGGCTAGAACAACAATGATTTTTGTGTTGCTTCTTTTTTTAATTTATAAAGAGTTTTTCTTATCAAGTTTGCATGTAAAAACTTGAAACTCTAACCTGGGTTTCTAATGAGCCATCTCAGAAGCAGAAGAGGGTGGGTCCCACCACTATTAAAGAAGAAGAGGCAGGAAAGGAGCATGTCCTTTGGAACCTGAGATCCCTGCCCATTGAAACTCTTTGACCCAGGGTCAGAAAGCTGTGACACCGGAGGAGGAATGGCGGAGGAGCAGCAGCAGAACCCAGGATGAGCGCACAAGACAGAGTAGTGGGCTTCCCAGCGTATGGAGCAAGTAAAGCTGAGTGACTTTGGCAAGAAGCTTGCTTGTAGAATAGGGTGCCTCCGGGCATTTAATTGGGGGAGCTCATTTTGCTGACCTGTGGAGCTGGAGCTGAGTATCTTCAGGCTGAGGCTTATGGTGGAACGGTGTGTCCTGTAGGCATTTATCAGCAGCTAACTGGAACAACTATGCCTTGAGCATTGCTGTCCCTGAATTACAACTTAGCTTCCCTAATAACCCCATAACTTCAAATACTGTATTTGAGTTCTGTGTTGTAGTTGCTGTCAGGTGCCATCGAGTCGGTACCGACCCATAGTGACCTTTTACACAGCAGAACGAAACACTGCGGGTTCCTGGGCCAACCTCACTACTCTTGCCATGCTTGAATACATTGATACTGCCATTTGGCCAATCCATCTCGTTGGGGGTCTTCCTCTTTTTCTCTGACCCTCCAACTTACTAAACATGATATCCTTCTCCAGCGATTGTTCCCTCTTGACAATATGTCCAAAGTTTGAGAGACAAACTTTGGTCATCTTGGCCTCTAAGTAGCACTCTGGCTGCACGTCTTCCAAAACGGATCTATTGGTTCTTTTGGCAGCCCATGGCACTTTCACTATTCTCCTCCAATACCATTACTTAAAAGCATCAATTCTTCTACGGTCTTCCTTATTCACTGTCCAGCTTTCACATGCATATGAGGTTATTGGAAATACCATGGCTTGGGTCAGGCACACCTTAGTCCTCAAGCTGACTTCTTTGCTCTTCAACACTTTAAAAAAGTCTTGTGCAGCAGATTTGCCCAATGCAATACATCGTTTGATCTCTTGACCGCTGCTTCCTTGAGTGTTGATAGTTGATCCAAGAAGAATGAAGTCCTTGACAACTTCAATCTCTTCTCTGTTGATAAGAATATTGTTTATTGGTCCAGTGGTGAGGATTTTTGTTTTCTTTATATTGAGATGTAATCCATACTGAAGGCTGTTCTCTTTGATCTTCATCAGTAAATGTTTTAAGTCCTCTTCACTTTCAGCAAGGAAGGTTGTATCATCTGCATATCGCAGGTTGTTAATGAGCTTCTTCCAATCCTGATGCCATGTTTTTCTTCATATAACCCAGCTTCTCATATTATTTGCTCAGCATACAGGTTCAATAAGTATGGTGAAAGAATATAACCTTGTCACACACCTTTCTTAATTTTAAACCATTCAATGTTCCTATGTTCTGTTCGAACAACTGCCTCTTGGTCCAGCTCCAGGTTCCTCATGGGCACAATTAAGTGTTCTGCAATACTCATACACCGCAATGTTGTCCAATGCTTATCATGATACACACAATCGAAAGCCTTTGAGTAGTCAATAAAGCACTGTTGAATATCTTTCTGATAGTTTCTACTTTCAGCCAAGATCCATCAGACATCAGCAATGATATCCATTATTCCATGTTCTCTTCTGAATCCGGCTTGGACCTCTGGAAGTTCGCTGTCAATGTATGATTGTAGCCGTTTCTGTATTACCTTTAGCAAAATTTTACTCACATGGGATATCAAAGAGATTGTCTGATGATTTCCGCATTCCGTTGGGTCACCTCTCTTTGGAATGGGCACAAATATGGATCTCTTCCAATTAGTCGACCAGATAGTTGTCTACCAAATTTCTTGGCAGAGATGAGTGAGTGCCTCCTGTGCTGCCTCACTTTCTTGAAAGATTTCAATTTTTATTCCATCAATTCCTGGTGCCTTGT